GGGGATTTTAAACAAACAGCGAACTGTTTTTCGCAGCTGGATAAATACCCAATCCCTTGCACAGAGGTTTGTATATGCAAAGCAGGCAGGGGGTGCTGTCCCTCATGAAGGTGGATAACAGCCACACTTACTTGCAATTGCATTTGGACCAATATTCCAAGAAGTATACTACAATTAATACCCAAAAGGGTTTGTACCAATACACGAGACCGCCATTTGGCATATCACCCGCATGTTCAATTTTTCAGCAGATGATGGTAAACATTTTGCAAGGTCTACCTTAGGTTGCCCTTTTCCTAGACAATAATGAGCACTTCGAGAACTTGGATATAGCCCTAAGCCATTTTTCCAAGGCCAGTGTACACTGAAAAAGGGAAAAGTGTGTGTTCCAGGCCTCCCAAGTGGCTTACTTAGTCTCCAGGGTCGATAAGATTAGGTTACACCCATTGGAAAAGATGCTCTGTCTCCCACGTCTGTTCAGGAGCGTAGGTTATTTCTGGGTCTGGTAAATGATTACGGATGGCTCATACACAAACTGGCATCCAGCCTGGCACCACTGCGTCATCTCCTAAAAACAGGTCAGCCTTGGAAATGGTCTCATAGACAGGCCTAGACAACCATCATCCTCTAGTGTGTTGGAACACTATGATCCCGAGAATATCTGGTATTGATGTGCAATGCCTCCCCTGTAGGGCATCGGGGTGGTATTAGCTCATGGGCATTCCTCTCCAGTGGGCCACCTAATAGCTAGTGCGGAGGTAAATATGGCCAAATAGAAGAAGAAGGATTGGTGGTCATATTTGGAGTGAGAAAGTTCCACTCATAGCTTTATGGGTGAAAATTCATGACAATCACGGACCACAGAGTCCTACCTCATCTGCTTAAAAATCATAAGGCAATGCCACCCATAGCTTCAGGCCACATTTAGCAGTGGGCTCCAATATCAGTTGAACACCAGCTGGGACAGTTAGCAGATTTACCACTCGACATTGAATTTTCTGCACACATTACCAGTCACAGCTGATAATTATCAGACTTTGGACACAGAAGAATCCTGTCCTATCCAAACTGAAACAATTGAAACCTTTTTGGACCTGGAGAGACCAGCTTACAGTAGAGGGCAGCACATTGTTATGGGAAGCAAGAGCGACTGTCCCGATTAAAGAATGCTGACAAATACTGGCTGAACTCCACCTGGTCTATTCAGGGGTCTCCCTGAATAGGAAATGAAGATATTGGCAAGATGTTATGCTGGGTGGCCAGTCTTGGACACAGACATGGCCGCATTGGTGGGGACAGTGCCCAGAAAGTCAACAGGGACAAAAATTACCACAAGCAGCACTCCCACGTTTCTGGGAATGGCTGGGTAAACCCTGGACTCGGTTACACATCGACTATGTGGTCCTTTCGTGGGTTCAATGTTTTTAGTCATTGCAGACACACATTGACAGTGGTCAGACGCACATAGAGTCCATTTGTCAAACGCTGGAGCGATGATAGTAAAACTGCGCACATCTTTTGTATACAGAGTCCTGGAGGTATTGGTCTCGGATAATGGGCCATCGTTCACCAGCAGAAACTTTAGTTACCTCTTAATACGTTGAATCCCATTCAAGTTTAGGGCAGTTCCATCCCACCCATTATCCAATGGCCTGGCAGAAAGAGCAGTCCAAACTTTGAAGGCTGGACTCAAGAAACAGCCTGTAGCCTCACTAGATACCAAGCTGTCACTGTTCTTGTTTGATTATGGGACCACCCCACATGCAACCACAGGAATAGCTCCGGCAGAGATGCTAACAGGGGAGAAGACTCCACACCAGGCTAAGTCTGATCTTCCCAGACCTGGAACAGAGGGTGAAACAGCATCAGGAACTCCAATGCCAAACACAAGACTCTGCCAAGCAAAGGACAGTCTGATATAGGGGACAAATATTGGTGCCAAAACCATGGAAATGGCCTGGCATGGATTAGAGGCATGATCAACGTGAGAATAGGACCAGTGACTCTTAAAGTTTGAGTAGGAGTAACTGTCCTGAATAGAATAGAACAAGGCGCATTGTCTCTGCCTGCTCCTGCCCCACCGAACTTATCTCCACCTATCTCGACTCCATTTTCTCCCCCTTGGTCCAGGAACTCCCCACCTACGTCCGTGACACCACCCACGACCTCCACCTTCTCCAGAACTTCCAATTCCCCGGTCGCCAACACTTCATCTTTACCATGGACGTCCAGTCCCTATACACCTGCATTCCCCATACAAATGGCCTAAAGGCCCTCCGCTACTTCCTGTCCCGCAGGCCCGACCAGTCACCCTCCACTGACACCCTCATCCGCTTAGCCAAACTCGTCCTCGCCCTCAACAACTTCTCTTTCAATTCCTCCCACTTCCTACAGACAAAGGGGGTGGCCATGGGTACCCGCATGGGCCCAAGCTATGCCTGCCTCTTCGTAGGTTACGTGGAACAATCCCTCTTCCGTATCTACACTGGCCCTAAACCCCATCTCTTCCTCTGTTACATTGATGACTGTATCGGCGCTGCCTCGTACTACCACGAGGAGCTCGAACAGTTCATCCACTTCACCAACACCTTCCACCCCAACCTTAAGTTCACCTGGACCATCTCCACTACTTCTCTCTCCTTCCTGGACCTCTCTGTCTCCATCTTTGGCAACCACCTAGAAACCAATATCCATTTCAAGCCAACCGACTCCCACAGCTACCTAGAATACACCTCCTCCCACCCACCTTCCTGCAAAAATGCCATCCCCTATTCCCAATTCCTTCGCCTCCGCCGCATCTGCTCCCAGGATGAGGCACTCCACTCCCGTACATCTCCGATGTCCTCGTTTTTCAAGGACCGCAACTTTACCCCCTCAGTGGTCGAGAACGCCCTCGACCGTGTCTCCCGCATTTCCCGCAACTCATCCCTCACACCCACTCCCCACAATAACAACCAAAACAGAATCCCCCCGTCCTCACTTACCACCCCACCAACTCCGGATCCAACGCATCATCCTCCGACACTTCTGCCATCTGCAATCCGACCCCACCACCAAAGAGAATTTTCCCTCCCCACCCTTACCTGCTTTCCGGAGGGACCACTCCCTCCAGGACTCCCTTGTCCGCTCCACACTCCCCTCCAGCCCCACCACACCCGGCACTTTTCCCTGCAACCGCAGGAAGTGCTACACCTGCCCCTACACCTCCCCTTACCCCTCCCCTTACCGCCCCAAGAAGACTTTCCACATCAAGCAGATGTTCACCTGCACATCTGCTAATGTGGTATACTGCATCCGCTGTTCCCATTGTGGCCTCCTCTACATCAGGGAAACCAAGCGGAGGCTTGGGGACCGCTTTGCAGAACACCTACACTCGGTTCGCAATAAACAACTGCACCTCCCAGTCGCGAACCATTTCAACTCCCCCTCCCATTCCTCAGACGACATGTCCATCCTGGGCCTCCTGCAGTGCCACAGTGATGCTACCCGAAGGTTGCAGGAACAGCAACTCATATTTCACTTGGGAACCCTGCAGCCCAATGGTATCAATGTGGACTTCACAAGCTTCAAAATCTCCCTTCCCCCTATCGCATCCCAAAACCAGCCCAGCTTGTCCCTGCCTAGCTCCCACCTCAAGCCCCACCCCCATCTCCTACCTACTAACCTAATCCCGCCCCCTTGACCTGTCCATCCTCCCTGGACTGACCTATCTCCTCCCTACCTCCCCACCTACACTCACCTTTACTGGCTCCATCCCCGCCTCTTTGACCTGTCTGTCTCCTCTCCACCTATCTTCTCCTCTATCGGCCTTCCCCTCTCTCCCTATTTATTTCAGAACCCCCTTCCCCTCCCCCATTTCTGAAGAAGGGTCTAGGCCCAAAACGTCAGCTTTCCTGCTCCTCTGATGCTGCTTGGCCTGCTGTGTTCATCCAGCTCTACACCTTGTTATCTCATATTTATTGTCACTGGCATTTATGAAAATACAGCGAGATGTGTACAAGTCGCCACAATCTGGCACCATTTTAAGTACAGAAATTATAAAAAGAAAGCATTAAGGCAAAGCTCATCTTTAATGCCCTCCTTGGCCTCGCAATCTTCTTTTCTGCGGTGCAGGAAGGCAAGGTGAACTTTGATGCAAAGAGAAATGAGGAAACAAAATGAGATAATAACAAAAATGAATCCTACCGACTAACCTCATCCTGCCCCCTTGACCTGTCCGTCCTCCCTGGACTGACCTATCCCCTTCCTAACTCCCCACCTACACTCACCTTTACTGGCTCCATCCCCGCATCTTTGACCTGTCTGTTTCCTCTCCACCTACCTTCTCCTCTATCCATCTTCTATCCGCCTCCCCCTCTCTCCCTATTTATTTCAGAACCCCCTTCCCCTCCCCTCCCCTCCCCCATTTCTGATGAAGGGTCTAGGCCCGAAACATCAGCCTTCCTGCTCCTATGATGCTGCTTGGCCTGCTGTGTTCATCCAGCCCTGCAACTTGTTATCTATGAAGAGTTTAGTCAGTTGGGTACGAATCCCTGGAATTCCCTCCCTAAGGGACACTGTGGGTCTACCCTACAGCACATGGACTGCAGTGGTTCAAGAGGGCAGCTCAACCCCACCTTCTGAGGGGGGACAACTAGGGACGGGGCGATAAATATACCTGCAAGGTAGTAATTGCAAAGTACAGGGTGGTTGTGGATTCTGGAACTGGGGGGAAATACTCTGAGAATCAGCGTGTTCAGGTCAGATTTCAGGAAGCACTTGGACAAACAAAGGAAAAAAAGCCCTGGATCCCCATTAGGGAGGGTGGGTGAATACGACAGTCTTTGGTTTCTCATTGGCGGGTGGCGACGTCAATCTTTATCATTTGTGGGCGGTACTACAGTCCCGGCTTTCCCATTGGCGGTGGTGGATGTCAATCACTATTTCATGGGTGGGATCGCCCCAAAACGTCGGTAGCGGAAGTCGATGTTATTGGCCGCCTTCCCACAGTCCGCTCTTCTCATTGGCAGGGGGCCACGTCAATCATATGTGCCGGCGGGCGGTGTGCACGCCTCTAGCTCCATCTCCATTGGCGGAAAGCGATGTCACTCAGCTGCATGGTTGGGGGATGGATCGAGGAACCTGTTGGGGAGGGATGACGTCAACACGCCGTACAGGTTCGGGTCAATGCCTCCCGCTCCCTATTGGCGGACAGGGACATCAATCGTCTTCTTCCCGTGGGTGGGATGATGACCCTCGTTTCTGATTGGCGAAGGGAGACATCAATCACACACCGCGCCAGGGTCACGTGTTGAGAGGAGGTCGCCCGCTGTCCGGTAGGTTCGTGATTCTGCATCTTGTATTTCTCGCTGTTCCCCGTCCCCCCCCCTCGTTTCTCCATTTCCTTCCCCTCACCCGCGCTCAGGCCCTACAATTACAGGAGCGCTGTCCAGTTTTGATCGATAACTGACTCTTAACCCATCCCCTCTCCCGACCGTTATTCACGGGGCGGCATCGGAAGAAGGGCAGCTACCCAACCACTCTGAGCATGCGCGGTGCCGGCTCCAGGGGCATGCGCAGTATACGCCCTCCTCCACAAGATCAGTGCAAAATTACCCCCACCCCAAAAACACACACGCTCAATGCAAAATTGACCCCCCAACCCACAACACAGACACAATGCAAAACTAATTCCCCCCCCACACACACAATGCAAAATTAATTCCACCCCACACACACACAATGCAAAATTAATTCCCCCCCCCACACACACACACAGTGCAAAATTAATTCCCCCCCCACACACACTCAATGCAAAATTAACACTCAATCTCCCCCCACCCCCGACAAACTCTCTGTGCAAAATAAATAAGATAACAAGGCGTAGAGCTGGATGAACACAGCAGGCCAAGCAGTATCAGAGGAGCAGGAAGGCTGACGTTTCGGGCCCAGACCCTTCTGAAGAATGTGTTCATCCAGCTCTACACCTTGTTATCTCAGATTCTCCAGCATCTGCAGTTCCTGCTATCTCTGTGCAAAATAAATGTGTGCCTCACACAGTCAAAATTGCAGGATCCTAGCAGACAGATTTTTATCATTGACAGCCACGGGTGAGTTGCCGGAATACTGGACACTGGCTAATGACGTGCCTATATTTAAGTAAAGCTGCGAGGTGAGCCTGACATCAGTGGTAGATGAGTTGTTAGAGGAGATTCTGAGAGACAGGATCTACATGGTTTTGCAAAGGCAGGAACTGATTAGGGATTGTCAGCACAGCTTTGTGCTTGGGAAATTGTATCTCACAAAGTTGATTGAGTTTTTCGAAGAGGTGACCAAGAATTACATTTAAAAGACATTTGGACAGGAAAGAAAAGGAAAGGTATGAGGGATATGGGCCAAACACAGGCAAATGGGACTAGTTTATCTTGGGAAACTGGGTCGACATGGACAGGTTGAGCCGAAGAGTCTGTTTCCATACTGTAATTCTATGACTCTCAGTGCAAAATTAAGAGCCCTCCTACATACATAGACTATCTTAGTGCAGAATTAAGACCCGATACAGACTCAGTACAAAATTAACCCCCCCACCACACATACACAGCAGTGCAATATTGATGCCCCTGCACAGACACTCAGTACTGTGGAACTCATTGCCACAAAGGACTGTGGAGGCCAAAGTATTAAATGTTGCTAAGACAGAGTTAGGGAGCTTCCTGATCAGTAAGGGAGGGGATCAGAAGTTGTGGGGAGAAAGCAGGAGAATGGGGTTGAGAAACATATCAAACGATGGAGCAGACTCAATCAGCCTGAATGGCCTTATTCTGCTCCTATATCATGATCTCAGTTCACAATCTCCATTTCTCCATCACTCTCCAGAGTTTGCACTAAATGTGTTTCGGGTTGTTGGGCACTGAGCATGACAAGTGTAGAGCGAGAAGCAGAAAGAGACATGTCGTGATTTTGCTGGACTCTGCTCAGCCACTACCCCTTCTCTGTCATTGGGTTACCCCAGCGTTGCAATTTGTACCTGGAAGAGGGGAGGTGACAGCCTAATGGTATTATCGATGGACTGTTAATCCAGAGACCCAGGTAACATTCTGGGGTCTTGTGTTTGAATCCACCCACGGCAGATGTTGGAGTTTGAATTCGATAATAATCTGGAGTTAAAAGTCTCATGATGAAATCATTGTCAATTGTTGGAAAAACCCATCTGGTCCATCAATGTCCTTTAGGGAATTAAACTGCCATCCTTACTTGGTCTGGCCTACATGTGACTCATAGCAATGTGGTTGACCCCCTCTGGGCAATTAGGGATGGGCAGTAAATGCTGGTCTAGCCAGCGATGAACGAATAGGAAAAAGCACCCCCTGTCCATTAGCTTCCCGAATGGGTGAAGTCCCTTTGCTGTTTCTCTGATTCCCCGAACCTACAAGAGCATAAACACAAGGCATAGGAGCACTCGAATCTGCTTCACCTGTCAACGTGGTCACGAGCAACCTTGAGTCTCAACTCCAATGTCCCATCCTTTCCCTGTATCCCTCAAATCCGTGAGAGAAAATGTCTGTCCCGGCCTCCAAACAACAGATCATCCGTGACCCTTTGGGGCAGGGAATTCCAACAACTCACCAGCCCTCGAGTGAATGAATTATAGAGTCATAGAGATGTACAGCACGGAAACAGACTCTTCGGTCCAACTCGTCTAATGCCGACCAGATGTCCTAAATCATATTGGCCAGCATTTGGCCAATATCCCTCTAAACCCTTCTTATTCCTGTACCCCATCCAGATTCCTTTTAAATGTTGTAATTGTACCAACTTCCACTACTTCGTCGGGTAGCTCATTCCATACACGTATTCCTTCTCTCAGTCCGAGGTGACTGCCCCCTTACCCTGAGTCTGTGGCCCCTCTGTTTTTTAGGTTCCCCAGCCCAGAGACCTGGGGGGAAATAATCTCTCGGTGACTACCCTCATCAAGCTCCTTCTGAATCTTGTCTGTCTCAAAAAGATCACCCTCTGTCCTCCGAAACTCCAGAAACTATCGGCCCACCTTATTCAACCCTTCATCTCCAGGCCCAACAGAAGCAAATCACTGCAGATTAAATAAAAACTGAAGGTGCAGGAGAAACTCAAGTCAGGCAGCATCTGCACAGAGAGAAACCGAGTTAGCGTTTCGAGACAGATAAGACTCTTTCTCAGGACCCGAGTACTGTCTCTCTCTCTCTCTCTGCAGACCTGCTGAGTTTCCCAGCAATTTCTGTTTTCCCTTCCTCAGTCTCTTGTGAGGCTTTGCTGGGATTGCATCCTGGGAGTTATCTAAGATTAGCTGCTTTTTCCTACCTGTTAACATACCTGCAGCAAGACTCTCCTGCCCCACAGCCTCTACCCTTTCCCCATGACCCACTAAACCCCTACCCTGACCCACAGCCCTAGCCCTGCCCCAGGGTCCTCCCCCTGCTCCACATGGCACAGGGGCCTAACTCCAGGTAATGGTCTCACCAAGGCCCTGTACAACTGAAGCAAGACCTCCACGGAACCATTGAATCGTACAGTACAGAAGAAACCCTTCGGCCCATCGAGTCTGTGCTGACCTATCTACCTGAGTCCCACTTTCCAGCACTTGGCCCATAATGGGATGTTTTGACATTTCAAGTACTGACTCGCATACTTTTTTTAAAGGTTGTGCAGTTTCCCGCCTGACTCCCCTCCTCAAGTCCTCTCTAAACCTCCTGCCTTCCACCTTAAAATGATGCACCTTGTTACTGACCCTTCGAAGATGGGGAACAGCTGCTTTCTATTCACCATGTTCATGCCTCTCATAATCTTACCCACCTCTATCAAGTTCCCTCTCAGTCTGCTCTGCTCTCAAGGAAACAACTCAAGCTTATCCAGCCTCTCTTCATCATCAAAAATGCTCCATCCCAGGCAACATCCTCGTAATCTCCTCTGCAAGCCCCTCTCTCCAGAATGATCACATCCTTCCTTTAGTGTGATCTTCAGTGGACCACGACTTATTCTGAGATTACACCCTCTGGTACTAGACTCTCCCACAAGGGGGAAAACAACCTGTCCACATCTCCCCTCTCAGGTTCCCCCCCCAACCCGAGAATGTTGTGTGTTTTAATAAGGTCACCTCACATTATTCTCAACTCCAAACAGTAGACACCCAACCGTCTCAACCTCTCCTCATAAGACAGTCCCTCTATCCCCAGAATCAACTCCCAAGCTCTGAACCGCCTCCAATGACAGTCGATCTCTGATTAGATACGGGACCCCAAAACTGTTCGCAGTATTCCAGTTGTGGTCTGACCAGTAGAGTTTTAGCAAAACCCCATATGTTTATACTCCATTCCCTTTCAAATAAAGCTTAAAACAGAAGGTGGAGTACTATTTAAATAGTGACATGTTGGGATGTATGGATGTAAAATGGGATCTGAGTGTCCTTGTATACCAGTCTGTTGAGACCAGACCAGGAGTATTGTGTGTAGTTTTGGTCTCCTTATCTGAGAGAGGATATCCTTGCCATAGAGGGAGTGCAACGGAGGTTCACTAGGAGGATGTTGGGAATAACAGGACTGTCCCAGGTTCATCTGGATCTGTATTCGCTGGAGTTCAGAGGAATGAGAGGGGGTTCCGATTGAAATGTATACAGTTCTAACAGGGCTGGACAGACCAGATTTGGGGGGATGCTTCCCCTCCCTGGTTGGGGAGTCTAGAACTAAAGGTCACAGTCTCAGGATATGGGTTGGAACTGCAGGAGACAGAGGGTGGTGGTGGAGGGATGTTTTTCAGACTGGAGGCGTGCCACCAGGATTGATGCTGCACCCACTGCTTTTTGTCATTCATATAAATGATTCGGATGTCAATTAGGAGGCACTTTTAGTAAGTTTGCAGATGACACCAAAAGAGGTGGCGTGGTGGACAGTGAAAAGGATCATCTCAGTACAACGGGACCTTGATCAGATGGGTCAATAGGCTGAGGAGTGGCAGACAGAGTTCAATTTAGATTAATGTGAGGTGTTGCATTTGGTAAGGCAAACCAGAGCATGACATATACAGAGGTAGTAGGAACTGCAGATGCTGGAGAATCTGAGATAACAAGGCCCAAAACGTCAGCCTTCCTGCTCCTCTGATGCTGCTTGGCTTGCTGTGTTCATCCAGTTCTACACCTTGTTATCTCAGGACTTATACAGTAAGTGGTAGAACCTGGGAAGTATTGCCAAACAAAGAGACTAGGGATGCATTGGATAATTCCTTGAAAGTGGAATAAAGGTAGATAGGATAGTAAAGAAGGTGTTTGGTACGCTTGCCTTCAATGGTCAGTGCATTGAGGAGAGGAGTTGGGAGGATCATGTGTGGCTGTACAGGACATTGGTTAGACCACTTTTGGAATAGTGCACACAGTTCTGGTCTCCCTGCTGTTGGAAGGATGTTGTTAAACTTGAGAAGGTACAGAAAAGATTTACAACGCTGTCGCTGGGACTGGAGAGTTTGAGTTAAAGGGAGAAACTGAACAGGCTGGAGCGTTTGAGGCTGAGGGGTGACCTTTATAGAGGCTTATAAAATGATGAGGGGCATGGATAGGGTGAATAGCCAAGGTATTTTTCCCCAGGGTAGGGGACTCCAAAACTAGAGGGCGTAGGTTTACGGAGAGCGGGGTAAGATTTGAAAACGACCTGAGGGGTAACTTTTACACGCAGAGGTGGGTATGTGTATGGAACAAGCTGCCAGAGGAAGTGGTGGAGGCTGGTACAATTTACAACATTTAAAAGGCATCTGGATGGGTACATGAATACGAAGGGTTTGGAAGGATATGGGTCAAATGCTGGCAAGTGGGATTCGGTCAGATTGGGATGTCTGGTCGGCACAGACAAGTTGGACCAAAGAGTCTGTTCCCTGCAGTGTGACTCCATGACTGAGATGAGGAAACATTTCTCCTTCAGACAGTTGTGAACCTATGGAATTCTCCACCACAGAAGGCTGTGGGAGGCTGGGTCACTGAAATGCTTTCAGGAAAGAAATTGATTAGAGATTAAGATACTAAAGACATCAGGGCTTATGGGGAGAAAGCAGGAATACGGCATTGAGATCAAGGATCAGCCATGATTCTGTTAAATGGCAGAGCAGACTGGAAGGGCTGAATGGCCTGCTCCTAGTTTCCATGCTTTCTCTTCGAGAACCCACAGGCACGAAAACCTGGTTGTACACAATCGAAAGAAGAACAGGTTCCAGTTAGGCAGGTGGAATAATTCAGATTTACTCATGACCCAGACCTTGGTATAGAGGCTACAATTTCTAAATGTCTGATTGATGCAAGAAACACGAAGCATAGTGAACTCTTCAGGAAAGTGCAGAAGTCCATGAAATGCTGGCGTGGGCAGAAAAGTGGCAGATAAAGTTTAGCGCTGACAACGTGTGAATCGATCATTTTGGCTGCAAGGTAGGGAGAGACAAAAGAACACACAAGGACCCCATTGAAAGGTTGCGTATGTGCACAAACTGACAAAGATGGCAGGGCTGAGGGAAGGAGCAATCAATAAAGGACACTGTGTCCAAAACTCTACTCACAAGCAAGGAGGACAAGAGTGAAGAGGCAATGTTTATTCTCGACTGGATACCACTCACCCACAAACAATACCACTCATCCCACCCCACACCCTCAAAACGACACTACTGGCCATTCCCCCATACCCGGTACCACTGTCCCTACCATTTTCCCTCCCCCTGCCAACCAACCCTCACACGCACACAACAGGCTGCCAGATCAGAATACTAGATACTGAATGTTAACTCCGTTTCTCTTTCCATCATCGGAGCTGCTGAGTTTCTCTGACACTTCCTGGTTTCTCTTTATTTCAGATCTCCAGCATCCGCAGTACATTGCCTATAGTTAGTCTTAAGGTGGTTGTTAGCTTGATGCTAAGCGTACCTGGGATTGTTTGATAAGTGCTGTCCGAACCTGGATTCGTGGCCAGTATTGGACGCAGTGTTCGATGCTGCTCGATACTTTGTGTTTTAGAAACGGGTGGCACCTACTTCCCCGAAAATCAGCACCGCTTCTCGTGCGGTGTAAATTGTTGCTCCTTTCGAAGTCTTCACAGTCTTTGTCCTCACGAGTGCGAGGTGAAAAACCTGCGACAGCGAGCCTTTCCTCTTTAGCAAGTGTTGTTCTTTTTTTCTTACAAGCTCCCTCTTAGCCGGTCTCGTCTTCCTTATTACAGGGTTGTAGCGGGTGAAGGCAGGAAGCTCGAAACCACCTTTGGGTTGAGGACAGCGCACTGGATGGAAGGAGAAGGTAGCCACCGTGGCCCCAGCCCGGGAGAGAGCCGGTACGAGTGTGATGTGTGCGGGAAGCAGTTTGCCTACACCTCCTCACTGTCGAGGCACAAGAGCAGCCACGTGGGCGGCACGTGGTACGAGTGCGAGGACTGCGGCAAGGGGTTTGTCTACCTGGCCAAGCTCAACACACACCGACGTACCCATGACAAAGCCCGGCTGTACGCCTGTGCCGACTGCGGGAAGGGCTACCTGCACCCCTCGGTGCTAGAGGCCCACCGGCGCTCCCACACTGGAGAGAGGCCCTTTACCTGCCCGGTTTGCGGTAAGGGGTTTACCCAGTCCTCTGCCCTGTGCTCCCACCGCCGGGTACACAGCGAGGAGCGCCCCTTTGGCTGCGGTGAGTGTGGGAAGAGATTTAAGAGTGCCCAGTGCCTGATGAAACACCAGCGGCTACACACCGGCGAGAGGCCGTTCGGCTGCCAACTGTGCCTGAAACGTTTTGTCAGCGCCGGGGGCCTGCTGACCCACCAGCGGGTACACACGGGCGAGCGCCCCTTCGCCTGCTCGCTGTGCAGCAAGAGTTTCGCCCACGCCTTCAGTCTGCGCACCCACCAGCGGGTACACACCGGCGAGCGCCCCTTCACCTGCTCGCTGTGCGGGAAGGGCTTCACCCAGTCCTTCAGCCTCCGTACCCACCAGCGGGTACACACCAGGGAGCGCCCCTTCACCTGCCCGGAGTGCGGTAAGGGCTTCACCTACTCGTCCAGCCTGCTGGGGCACCGGAGGGTACACACAGGCGAGCGCCCCTTCACCTGCCCGCTCTGTGGGAAGGGCTTCACCTACCTGTCCAACCTGCAAGCTCATCGCCGGCTCCACTCTGGGGACAGGCCGACGGCACCTCCTGCCCCGCTCCCTCCCGAGGGGTAGGGGGCGCTGCTCCTGCCGAGGAGCCAGTCAGAGATCCCAAACCACGAGCTCTCACCTCCCTCAACTTTCCAAATCACTGCCACCATTCAGAAGCTCACCAGCCCCCTCCCAAACCCCTTGTCACTGGGTCAGATGCAGTCGCAGAATCATCCCATCATGCCTGCACCAATTCTATCCCCGTATGGTCCAATCTCCTGCACTTTTCCCCCCATCCCTGTACTCCATTTCTATCCAAATAACCATTCTGTGACCCTCTGCAATGCCTCAATGGAACCTGTCTCCCCCATATTTCCAGGCAATTCATTCCACACCCTAACTACTCGCTGGGTGGAGAGGTTTCTTTCCCCCATCACCCTTACTTTGTTTCCACTTCACCTTAAACCTCTGTCCCTCTCGTTCTTGATACTTTACAATCGGGAACAGCTTCAATCTATCTATTCTGTCGATCCCCCTCTCATCAATTTGAAAGCCTCTGTCAGATCTCCCTCTCAGCACCTTCTCTCCAGGAGAACAGTCCCCAACTTCTTCAATCTGTCTTTGCAACTGAAGTGGATGCTTCGCACAAATAACCCACTACCATTTGTGGAGGCTGATCTGATCATCCTCAAGTCCACTTTCCTGCCTTTTCCTCTCGATTCCCCTTCCCGATTGAAAACCTCTCTATCTCAGCCGTAAATATACTTAATGCCCCAGAATCAACAGCCCTTCTGCGGTAAAGAATTCCAACAGATTCACTGCCCTCGGAGAGAAGAAATTCTTCCAACTCTGTACACGGTGCGAGGAATGTATGGACTGGAGATGAGATACAGGAGGGGGAGTGCATGCAGTCCCGAGTAACCCGTCTACCTGGCCCTTCGAGCGCCACGACCCCTCGATCCCAGTCCCATGTGGAGCAGAGTCTGAGGATCACACTATCTGGCTTAGCAGCTCCTCTCAGACCCCGTTAAACTAAAGTAAATTCAGGTCACCTTCCATCTTTAAGGTCTGTCTCGAATATGGCACAAGGATTTCAGCAATTCCAACACTTTTACACAGGCTGTTAGGAACAGTCCACAAACGTTGGAAGTGACACTCACTTCCTGAGGAGGACTCCAGAAAACATTCACGCCACACAAGTGGCAGGTAATGACCATTCCCAACAAGGGTGAATCGCTTAGCCATCAACCCCTGATGTTGAACGGTGTTACCAGCACTGACTCTGCCACTATCAACATCCTGGGGATTACCATTGACCAGAAACTGAACCAGACCCTGCCACATAAACACAGGGGCTACAGTGAGTAACTCCACTCCTGACCACCCTCCCCGCACTGCCCCCCACCCCACAGCCTGTCCCACCATCAACAAGGCACAAGTCAGGAGTGTGAGAGAATGCTCCCCACTTGCCCTGGATGGGGGCAGCTCCAACAACACTCGAGAAGCTCGACATCATCCAGGGACAAAGCAGACCCCGCTTGATTGGCACCACATCCACAAACATCCACTCCCTCCACCACCGACGCTCAGTCGCAGCAGTGTGTACCAGCTACAAGATGCCCTGCAGAAATTCACCGAGGCTTCTTAGACAGCACCTTCCAAAACCCAACGACTTCCATCTGGAAGGACAAGGGGCAGCAGGTCCATGGGAACACCAGCCCTCTGCAAGTTCCCCCTCCAGGCCACTCCCCATCCTGACTTGGAAATATATTGGCCGGTTCTTCAGTGGTGCTTGATCAAATTCCTGGAATTCACTCCCTCAGGGACATTGTGGGACTACCCTACAGCACATTGACTGCAGCAGTTCAAGAAGGCAGCTCACCCCCACCTTCTCAAGGGGTGGATGACGACGGACTGGCAATAAATGCTGGGCCCAGTTAATGACACTCACTTGCAGTGCAGACATCTGTTGTCAATTGGAGAAGCTCTCAAGATGCTTTTCTGCAAGCTACCTGTATGACCATCTCCAAACTGATGAAACCACTGTTCAATCTCTGCAGCGAACAGTTAATAATGTCACTAAATCCTGGAGAGACGACACGTGTCCCTGTGAGATTCACTGGGACTCCGAATCATTCACCTCAGCTTTACAGCTTGTGGAAAGTGTTTCTCTGGCATGACCCAGCTGCTGACGCCTTACAGTGTCTACGTTGTGTCTGTGCAGAGTTCGATCCCAGCTGGATGGCTAACTTCATGAGCTGTGCTGGATATTAACATCCCCTGTCAATAAACTATCTGTTTTAAACACAGCAATTTTCAGTCATTCTTTCCAAAATGCGCTGATGGAGGACATGAGAAGTGGGTATCAGGAGGAGGCCGTTTGTCCCTTTGATGCCTGCTTTTCCATTTGACACCATTGTGGCTAATGTGATTGTGGCGCTAACCCCACCTTTCTGCTCACCCCCTTTTGACTTCCTTTGTGGGTCAAGTAAAGCTCTCTCTACACTGTTCCCCCATCAAACATTCCCAGGGACAGGGACAGCACGGGGTTAGATACAGAGTAAAACTCCCTCTACACTGTTCCCCCATCAAACATTCCCAGGGACAGGGACAGCACGGGGTTAGATACAGAGTAAAGCTTCCTCTACACTGTCCCCCCCATCAAACACTCCCAGGGACAGGGACAGCACAGGGTTAGATACAGGGTAAACTTCCTCTACACTGTACCCCCATCAAACACTCCCAGGACAGCACAGGGTTTGATACAGAGTAAAGCCTCCTCTACACTGTCACCCATCAAACTCTCCCAGGGACAGGGACAGCACAGGGCTAGGTACAGAGTAAAGCTCTCTCTACACTGTCTCCCCACCCACCCACTCCATCCCTGAATCAAACACTCCCAGGACGGGGACAGCACAGGGTTAGATACAGAGTAAAGCTTCCTCTTCACTATCACCCATCAAACACTCCCAGAGGAGGGACAGCATGGGATAAGGATACAGAGTAAAGCTCCCTACACATTTATCCCCCCCCCCCCCCCCATCTAACACTCCCAGGGACAGCATGGGGTTAGATACAGAGTAAAGCTCCCCCCTAAAATTTATATTCACACTCTTATACATAGCATTGACTGAAGAACCCTCTGTTATATATACATTAATAAAGTTAATATAAATGATGATGACTGAAGCCCTCTCAGTATGTATACATTAACATGGATAATATATAAGGTGCTGAGTGAACCTTCCCCTACATATTTACATGGTGCTGACTGCTGACCCTGTGTGCAGACTCTGCTCCCTGTTGGTGACAAGAGCTCCCCTCCTGCCCCGGGCAGAATATACATCCTCCCCAGTTCCCACTCTCTCCCATTGGCGGGAGCCATCCACGTTACCCTCCCATTGGTGGGAGCCGATACGTCACCCACCCATTGGCGGGAGGACACCGCACCACTCTCCCATTGGTGGGAGCCCGCCAGAGGACACCGCACCACTCTCCCATTGGTGGGAGCCCTCCAAGTCACTCTCCCATTGGCGGGAGGACACCGCACCACTCTCCCATTGGCTAGACAAATCGAACAATTCTCCTAATGGCTGCGTGGTTCGCCACGCTCGCTCATTGGCTGGATAAATCACTACACTCCCATTGGCTGGGGAAACCACACGACATCCTCCCTTTGATTGGATAAATCAGCTTACCCTCCCTTTGATTGGAGGATACCCCTACACTCTCCCATTGGATGGAGGACTTCCCGGCCCTCCAGGGTTCCGCCCTTCTGATTGGTCGGCTCCCAGGGTCACGTGAGGCCGGGGTGCGGCGCTTGGAGAAGGCTCTTGTTCGACACTGGTATGTTCGGGTTCGTGTTTTATTTCGGTGATATTATCCGTTAGATGCAATCACATAGGCACACAGGCGGTGTAGTCGGGAAAAGGGAAAGTCCGGGATCGGTGTTCAGCAGCACGCTGTGCCTTCAGCGCATGCGTCAGAGCCATCCCATTTCGATGTCTAAGAGCACATTCCAAGGCGCGGGGCAGTCTGGGTAAAGTGTACCGCCATTAAACCGTTATATTACCACCCAGGACTGCACCACCATTAGACCATCCTAACACCATAGGAACAGGAGGCCCATTCAGATTGCACCACCAATTCATAAAACCACGGGAACAGGAGGCCCATTCAGACTGCACCACCATTAGACTATCATAACACCACTGGAACAGGAGCAGATCCCATTCAGACAGTACCATCACCTGGGAGCAAAATTGAGCCATGTAATGACTGAATACGTTCATTTGATTGTTAGTGCAGCTTTTAATAAAAATTACTTTTGGCATATGGGCATCACAGGTTGACCAGCATTTATTGCCCTATCCCTAGTTGTCCACTTAAGAAAGTGGTGAGCTGCCTTCTTGAACTGCTGCAGTCCACATGCTGTAGGTTGACCCACAATGTCCCTTAGGGAGGGAATTCCAAGATTTTGACCCAGCAAAAGTGAAAGAATAGTGATATATTTCCAAGTCAGGATGGTGAGTGGCTCGGAGGGGAACTTGCAGGGGATGGAGTTCCCATGTATTTGCTACACTTGTCCATCTAATGAAAGAGGTCATGTGTTTGGAAGGTGCTGTCTGAGGATCTTTGGTGAATTTCTGCAGTGCATCTCGCAGATGGTACACCCTGCTGCTACTGAGCATCGGTGGTGGAGGGAATGGATGTTTGTAGATGTGGTGCCAGTGAAGTGGGGGTTGCTTTGTGCTGAATGGTGTCAAGCTTCTTGAGAGTTGTTAGAGCTGCACCCATCCAGGACAAGTGAGGAGTATTCCATCACACTCTTGACATGATGGAGGGACGGGCTTTGGAGGGAATCAGGAGGTAAGTTACTCGCTGCAGGATTTCTAGCTTCTGCCTTGCTCTTGTAGCTACTTTGTGTGGCAAGACCGATTGAGATTCTGACCAATGGTAAGCCCCGGGATGTTGATAGTGGGAGGATTCAGTGAGGGTAACACCATTGAATGTCAAGGGGCGGGGGGGGAGAGTGGTTAGATTGTCCTGTTGGAGATGGTTATTGCCTTGCATTTGGGTGGCGCGAATGTTACACACGTGCTTGGATTTGTTCAGCTGAATCCCATTGATCAGGCATTCCGGTCTGGACATGGCCTACCTATGGGTTGATTGGTTCTGAACTCATCTTGCAGGGGATGTCAGTGTGGAGGAGCTGTAGTCGGGGAGCTCTGAACAGACACACGCTGGGACTTGACTGTATCGCTGGAAACTGAGGCTTGTCGGCCTTTGGGCATGGAAGGTGGAGGCAGCAGCGATGATAACAACAGCATGGACAAAGCATCCATCTACTCCCAGACTACCCTGGAGAACCATGCATGCCTGCGGAACACAGGACAGGTGCCCAGATCCCCGTTTCCCTGCCTCGTGTGTGGCAAAGTCTTTGCCTACCCCTCATGCCTGCGGGTCCACCAGCTGGCACACACCGAGGAGAGGCCGTGCCGGTGCACCGACTGTGGCAAGAGCTTCAAGAGCCCCCAGGAGCTGCGCCGACACAGCCGGCTCCACTCAGGGAGGAGGCCCTACACCTGCTCGGTGTGCAGTAAGGGCTTTGCCCAGTCCTCCAATCTGCTGGCCCACCAGCGGGTTCACACAGGCGAGCGGCCGTTTGCCTGCACTGTCTGTGGCCGTACCTTTGCTCGCTCCTCCCACCTGCTGCGGCACCAGCTGGTGCACACTGACGAGACGCCCTTCGAGTGCTTCGAATGTGGCAAGGCCTTCAAGAGCGGCCAGGAGCTGAAGCGGCACCTGCAGGAGAAGGACGGCGAGCGGCCATTCGGCTGCACTGTGTGCGGCAAGGCCTTTGCCCGGTCCTCCAACCTGCGGGCACACCGGCGGACCCACACCGACGAGCGACCTTTCAGCTGCCTGGCCTGCGGCAAGAGCTTCAAGCTGGCCAAGTACCTGCGTCAGCACCAGGCCGGCCATGACATGGATGGGGGGAGGCCTTGTGCCTGCCCAGTGTGTGGCAAGGCCTTCACACTGCCCTCCGCACTGCGGGCACACCGGCGGATCCACACCGACGAGCGACCTTTCAGCTGCCTGGCCTGCGGTAAGAGCTTCAAGCTGGCCAAGTACCTGCGTCGGCACCAGGAAAGCCACCGCGAGGGAGTAGGGGCTCGGGACGGGGAGGTAGCTGGCACCACGGAGACCTGGAGCTCGGGGTCTCTTTAATCCCTGCAACAAGAAACAGGACCGGGGGGTGGGGGTCTGAATGGAGCCTGTTACACAGGAACATGAGCCCATTCAGCCACCTCCATGAGCCTGTTACACAGGAGCAGAAGGGGGCCCCATTTAGCCTCTCCCCCCCCCAAACCATTCGTCATCTGAACCTTCTGGCACTGAGAATTCCGCAGATTCACCTGCGTCAAGTGAAGAAATTTCTCCTCATCTCAGTCTAAAATGGCTGCCACGTCACCCTTAAACTGTCTCCCCTGCCCAATGCATTCCGCCCAGGCATGGCTCAGTGAGATCCCTCTTGTTCCTTTCAACTCCAGAGGCTATCAGCTCTTTGTCCTCCAGATAACCCCCTCGCTCGAGGGACCAATCTGGTGAAGCTTCCCCGTACTGCCTCCAATGGACGATTGTCATTCCTTACTTATGGAGAGCAGACCTGCACACAATTTCTGTATGCCTGTACTCCAAACCTCTTGCAATAAAGACTGATGTGGCATTTGCCTTCCTAATTTCTCACTGTACCTGTGTACTGACTTTCTGCATTTCCATGCACACACAAAGAATGCCCTCCATCCCCCCTCCCCAAGTCACATTGGACACCAACACTTACAATATTCACGCCTTTGGGAAATATCTGAGTTTTCTACTTCAGACCAAAGTAGGCTAGAATGAAAAAGCAGGGATGTACTGCTGAAGCTGTGTAAGGCTCTTGTCAGACCGCATTTGGAATATTGTGAGCAGTTCTGGACCCTGTATGTGGAAGGATGTGCTGGTCAAGGAGGGGGGGGTGTCCAGAGAAGGTTACAAGAATGATCCCGGGGATGAAGGGCTTGTCGTATGAGGAGCGGTTGAGGACTCTGCGTCAGTACTCGATGAAGTTTAGAAGGATGATGAGGGGGGGAATCTGATTGAAACTTACAGAATACTGAGAGGCCTGGATAGGGTGGATGTGGAGAAGACGTTGCCACAAGTAGCAGAGACCAGGACCCGAGGGCACAGCCTCAGAATGAAGGGACAACCCTTTAGAACTGAGATGAGGAGGAATTTCTTCAGTGGGGAATCTGTGGGACTCATTTCTGTAGAGGATTGTGAAGGCCAAGTCATTGAGTGTCTCTAAGACCGGGATAAATAGGCTCTTGATTGGTAAGGAGATCAAGGATTATGGAGAGAAGGCAGGAGTTTTGGATTGGGAAACACATCAGCCATGATCAAATGGCCTAATAACTGTTCCTATGTCTAAAGTGTGGACAATATCTCGTTCTCCCAGACTATACTTCATGTGGCAACCAGTTGTCCCTTTGCTTAATCTGACACGGCAGACACTCTGTGTAGAACAACAGAAAGAAACCAGGAAACCATTCAATTCATCAGGCCTGTACGAGGTGAATATACCAGCTGCCCACTTTGAAGGAGGTGCAGGAGAAGGTAGAAATGGATCTGTATGTACATAAGTCAATAAATGTGACAGGACACGTGGAGAGAGCAGTTCATATAGCAGACAGTGTCCTTGGCTGTACAATCGGTGCATAGAGTACCAGAGCAAGGAGGTGATGTTGAACTTGTTAGACCTCAGCTGGAATACTGAGCACAGTTGTGAATGCTGAATTACAGGAAAGACAGGAACACATTGGAGACAGTGTGCAGAAGTGATGTACAAGGATGGTTTCAGGGATGTGGGAATTCAGTTAGGAAGAATGCTGAGGTGAGATCTGAGAGGCATTTTCAAAATCATGAGCAAGGCTGGGGGCTGTGGGGATAGGGAGAAGCTGCTCCCGCTCTTAAGAAGAACAAGATTGAGGGGATGTGGATTTAAAGTGATTTGGAAAAGAAACAAATAGATAACCAGGGAGCTCCAAATTTGTTAGCGTCACCGTTTTTCTTTGTGTGATCGTGTCTGCCCATAAATTCTCGCTTTGGGATGCCTCCCATTGATTTGTCACTGAGCTTCTTGCAGTGAGCTGTTTCCAATCCACTTTTGCCAGATTACCTCTCAGCTTTGTTTAAAGAAAAGTCTTCCCCCAATTTAGAATTCTTACTCCTGCTCTTTATCCCTTTTGATAATGATGCTGAATGTAACTATTATGGTCACTATTTCCAATATATTCACCCACTATCACTTCCTCCACCTGGCGCAGCTTTGTTTCCTGAGACTAAATCTAGAAGTGTGCCCTGTCTCATGGGACTTGTCCAACAGTAGCTGGAAAGTTCTATCAAACAAGATGAGCCCTTTAGGACTTAAAACGATACCTAACTCCTTGAAAACAATCAATATTTTGGCATCAACCAATCTCTGTGGCAGGGACCTCTACAATTTCATCGCTCTTTGGGTAAGGAAAATTCTCCTCATCTCAGTCCTAAATTGCCTACCCCATATCCTTAGACTGTGACCCCCCACCTAGTTCTGTCCCCCCTACCATCGTTCCTGCATTTAACCTGTTGACCATCCCTTCTGATGATGAATTTCTGCAGTTCATCTTGAAGACAGTACACACTGCTGTGACTGACCGTCAGTGGTGGAGGGAGTGGATGTGCCAATCAAACGGGGGCTGCCTTGTCTTGGATGGTGTTGAGCTTTTACAGCACAATCCAGGGCAAGTGGGGAGCATTCCACATCTCACATTGGTTATCACTGTGGAGGGTAAAGTGGCGTCCTAGAATTGCCACAAAAACGGAAGTTGCTGGAAAAGCTTAGCTGGCAGCATCTGTGAAGTTAAAAATCTGCTAACGTTTTGGGTCTGCTGACCCTTCCTCAGAATTGCTGTCAGTTACAGAAGTGATGCAGCTCAGAAGGAGACCATTCAGCCCATCACGTCTGCACCACCTTGTGAAATGAGTGTCATTACTGAGTGCCAACCTCTTGCTCCCCAGTTCCCAACACATCCGTGAACTCTGTTTTTATCCAAACCATCGTCCAATGCCCTTCCTAGAGAAAGCAGGAAAAGGAAGGGAGAAACAGACTCAGCAGAAGCGGGAATATCTTTGTTTTGGACTCAAGAATGGAATAGACATTATTGACACGTGCGCTCGAATGAGTGCAGTGAAAACATTATAATGTCGCCTCTCGGCAGTAATCACCAATTTTGGCCATAAAGGGGAAGAGGGATCCTGAAATGGGGGAGGGCAAAGACAAACATGGAGGAGAGACACACACAAGGAGTAGAGAGTGGGGAAGTGACACACATGGGGGATAGACACACGAGAGGGAGGAGCACCCATTGGGGGAGACACATGTGGGAGTGTCACATGGGGTCAGACACCCAAGGAGGAGGGTATCCATTGGAGGAGACACACATTTGGGAGTGACACATGGGAGATAGACACCCAAGGAGGAGGGGAACCCACTGGAGGAGACACACATGTGGGTGTGTCACATGGGGGATAGACACCCAAGGAGGGGAGGAACCCATTGGAGGACACACATTTGGGAGAGTCACATGACAGCTCCCGGAACGTTGGAGCCCGTGGGAACATCTGAAAGCTGACCTCACAAAGAGAAGCCAGTCCCGCCCTACACTCCAGAGTGTCTCCCATTGGTTGGAGGAGCAGACCGGTCCTCCCCGATACGCGCTCATCCCATTCGCTGGGCTCACCGTCGATCATTCGTGCTGGGCAGGTAAGACCTCGCCCCTCCCCGCCAGTGTCCCACCCGATTGGTTGGAGGACCAGACCGGTCCTCCGAACTCCGCGTTCACCCCATTGGCCGCGGTCGCCCGTCCATCAGCGGGCGGGTCGTCACGTGTCGCCCGCCGCCGCGGCCGTCGATCGTTGGGTACCGTCTCTCTGTCACAGGCTCTGCTTCAGGTACGGCTTCCATTTATCGCCTCGGGCCGTAATTCACCCGGTATCTGTTTTTGAAAAAAAAAAATTCTCTGCAAATTCCCTCTCCCTCCGCTGAGGTGTTGTTGGGGCGGGGAGGCGCCGCGGACCCGCCTCCCTTCAGGGGCGTTGGGTGGGGGAGGGGTAACGGCTGGCGAGCATGCGCGGTGAGGCACCGATGGCAATGGGCGTGGCCGACGATGTCTGGCGGCGCATGCGCGGAATGCCAGTCAGGACCCTTGGCAAGTATGTCAAAATCAAATAGCCATTTCGTGGAGGAACTTTAGGTTTGTGTGCCTGTGGAACGGTGGGGAGGTGGTATTTGCTGCGTGGTGGCACAGCAGAGCTTGGCACTGTGAGAGAGGAGGGCATTGCTAGTTTTGGGTGGGAATGTGGACACGGGGTGCATGCTGATGCTGATCGGCAGTTAACTGCCAGGACCCATTTAAAATTTAGAGATGGTGGTATCAGTGCGGGGTGGGGGTGGGCTGGCCTTGGGGTTCCGCTAGCTTCCTTGGTGGTTGTGTGAAGATCTCCACTTGACCTCTGGTAAATCCCTGGTCTTCTCCTTTGCCCGGTACCGATTCCCATCGTTCCTCCGCCATTCCCCCCCAACCCTGTAGACGGCACCCCGTTACCGTTCTGATGTGCTCCTTTCCGGCTTTCAGGGGATCCTGCAATGGACGGCCCGGGGCGGCCGGGGAGGCCAGAGCGGGAGCGGAGCATGGCAGAGCCTGAGGAGCCAGGGGGAAAGCTGGACGTGCCAGGAGGAGGCAACGTGGCCAGCGGAGGAGGAGGAGGAGGTGCCGAAGGCACGGGCAAGGCCTACACCTGCCCGTTGTGCGGCCGGGGTTTCACCCAGTCGTCCAACCTGTCACGGCACAAGCGGAGCCACAGCGCTGAGCGGCCGTGCACCTGCGAGGTGTGCGGTAAGGGCTTCCTGTACCCCTCGCAGCTGAAGACTCACATGCTGGGCCACAGCGGTGAGAAGCCCCACACCTGCCCCCGATGCGGCAAGGCCTTCTCCCGCATGTCGGGCCTGCTGACCCATCAGTGGGTGCACACTGGAGAGAGACCCTACACCTGCACCGTTTGCGGCAATGGCTTCACCGACCCATCGAGCCTCAGCGTCCACCAGCGGGGCCACACCGGCGAGCGGCCGTATGTCTGCGCCGAATGCGGCAAGGCCTTCGCCCACTCCTCCACCCTGCTGGCCCACCAGCGGGTACACACCGGCGAGAGGCCCTATGTCTGCCCAGACTGCGGCAAGGCCTTCACCCAGTCCTCGGTGCTGGTGGCTCATCGTCGCCTGCACACGGACGAGCGACCCTACATCTGTGCCATGTGCGGCCGAGCCTTTGCCCAGTCCTCCTCGCTGCTCACCCACCAGCGGGTTCACACCGATGAGCGCCCCTTCGCCTGCCCGGTCTGTGGCAAACGCTTCCGCTGGCTCTGTAACCTTCGCACCCACCGGCGCACACACACTGGCGAGCGCCCCTTTCCCTGCCCACTGTGTGGCAAGCGCTTCGTGGACTCGGGCAACCTGCAGGCCCACCGCCGGCTGCACACCGGCGCCAAGGATTTCTCCTGCACCGTGTGCGGCAAGGCCTTTGTGCAGCAGGCGGCGCTCCTGGTTCACCACCGGGTACACACTGGCGAGCGGCCCTACATCTGTGCTGTCTGCGGCTGCGGCTTTGCCCTCTCCTCCACCCTCGCCATCCACCAACGCCGCCATACGGGCGAGAGGCCCTTCACCTGCACCATCTGCGGCAAGGGCTTCTCCCAGTCCTCCGCCCGTCTCAAGCACCAGCGGGTGCACCTCGCCGAGGAAGCGACCAGGGAACCAGCTTCCTGAATGCTAACCATACCCCCCGACCAACCTCAACTACCCCCTCCCCTTCCCCAAGCACTTTCATTCCTTAACTGCCGATCCCACGACGGTGGTCAGGAATCGAACCTGCGTCGCTATCATAGAATCCGAGGATTTGTGGAAGGACGACTGGGCTGACCGGGAAAGGGGGAGAGAGAGCTGCTGGATCAAGAATTCCTGAAGAGAGGGAAGCAGAGTTAGATCATTAGACACAGGAGCAAAATTAGGCCATTCAGCTCATTGCTCCACTATTCGTTCATGGCTGGTACGTTTCTCAACTATCATTCTCCTGCCTTCTCTCCATAACCATCGACCCCCACCTTTGCTAATCATGACCCTGTCTAATTCTGTCTTAAAGACACTCAATGACTTGGCCTCCACAGCCCTCTGCAGCAATGAGTCCCACACATTCCCCACTCTCTGGCTGAAGAAATTACTCCACATCTCAGTTCAAGAGGGTCGGCCCTTCACTCTGAGGCTGTGCCCTTGGGTCCTAGTCCCTCCTACTGGTGGAAACATCTTCTCCACATCCACTCTACTCAGGCCTCTTGGTAAATTTCAATCAGATTGCACCCCACCCCCCCAAGTCCTTCTGAACTCCATCAAGAGTCCTTAACCGCTCCTCATATGACAAGCGATTCATCCCTGGGATCATTCTCGTCATTCTCGGGTCTCCTCTGGACCCCCTCCATGGCCAGCACATCCGTCCTTCGATATGGGGCCCAAAACTGCTCACAGTATTCCAAATGGGGCCAGACCATTATACAGCCTCAGCAGTACATCCCCGCTGTTATATTCCAGCCCCTCTTGAAATGAATGCTAACATTCCATTTGCCTTCCTAACCTGCATGTTAACCCCCAGAGAAACCTGGGCCAGGGCTCCTGAGTCCCTAGCGCTTCAGATTTCTGAAGCCTTTCCCACTTTGGATTATTTTCCGTTAGCATCTTGTGTCCAGTTTGAGTCTTGCCCAGAAGTGAGGACTGTTAGAAACCTATGGAGGCTTCATCTCAGCACCCCTCACTTCTGAAGGAGAGTGACGCTGGACTTGAAGGGTTGTCTCCGTTCCTGTCTCTCCCCGCGCGGATGCTGCCGAGCGTCCCCAGCACTTTTCTGTTTTCGTTTCTGGCCTCCAGCATCCGCAGGCTGTGCCTCGCACTTCACACGTTTAAAACTGAAGAGGGTTGGGGGCAGGGTGATTCGAAGTGACATTATCCCAGGTAAGGGAAGCCTTGGAGACCTTCAAACAACTCTAGACTGGGGAGTTGAGGAGACGGTGTTTCTGTTTCACCGGTGTGCAGAAGGGCCAGGATGGTGGTGGGGGCCGAGTGAAACCGACTGGAAATTCCGGAGAGAGGTGCTCTCACCTAGAGAGGGGTGACATTGCAAGCCTCGCCCTGGCAGGGAATGGTCAAAGTGAAAACTATTAATGTCCTGAAGGGAGAAGCTGGATGAACACACGAGGGACCAGGGGGTAGATGAAGGGATCAGGTGGGAGGAGGCCCGTGTGGTGCAGCTGCATCAGGTACAAGACAGATGCATCGAATGGCCTTTTTCTCCACTTGATACACTCGTCAGACTTGGAGAGAACAAAATAGACGCACCGAACACGTCAAATCAATCTGTATGAAGGAAGCAACAGCAGAGGCACTATTGTATATCTGTGTGTGTGTGTGTGTGTCCGTCTGTCTGTTTTTAATATCCCTCCCCCGGGTGCGTCCATGTATTCTTGAAAAAAGAGGGAGTTTTGGGGAGGGGTGTAACAGAAAACTGGAGTCAAGACCTCAGTAAGATCAGCCACCCCTCCTCGGATTGGCAGGGCAGTCTCGAGTGGCCTAATTCCGAACCTCATTCGGATGTGGTCAGCAATGGTCGTCCGTCCACATTTGCCCCCCTGAATTGGGAGTCTCACTCAGCCGTTTCAGAGGGCAGTTCAGAGTTCACCCTGTCACTGCGGCTCCAGAGTTCACATAAAGGGTAAGGACAGCAGATTTGCTTCCGTATTTTAACGTGTCAGGCCGTTCTGTGGCTTGTTTCTCCCTTTATTCATTGATTGGATGAGGGCATCGCTTGTTATGCAGCATTTGTTGCCCATCCCTAATTGCCCAGAGGGCAGTTAAGAGCCAACCACATTGCTGTGGGTCTGGAGTCACATATAGGCCAGACCAGGTAAGGATGGCAGTTTCCTTCCCTTAAGGACATTAGTGAACCAGATGGGTTTTTCCGACAATTGACAATGGATTCATGGTCATCATTGGTTTTTTAATCCCAGATATTTATTGAATTCAAATGCCACCATCTGCCATGGCAGGATTCGAACCTGGGTCCCCAGAATATTGTCTGGTCTCTGGATTAACAGTCCAGCAATAATGCCACTAGGCCATCGCCTCCCCCAGGAGGCCTCACAGCCGTCATCTCTTTGGCCAATTTTTTCTTACATCTAATTAAATCCATTTCAGTTTTCAGTTACTGAACTGTATCTAAGTTGCTCACCATTCCAGTTGGATTTGAGCTCAACTTTCCAGGATCATCATTCCCAGCTTCAGGTGTGCCTCAGTAGCCATCACTTGCAGCCCAGTGTGACAGTGTAACCTGTTTTAGATCGCACTCCAGCAGCAAGTAAAAACTGCAGGCTGACACAGCAGCGCGTTTCAGAGGGGGCACCGCACTGTCAGAGGGTGAGCGTTGAGGGGGCACCGCACTGTCGGAGGGTCAGCGCTGAGGGAGCGCCGCACTGTCGGAGGGTGAGCGCTGAGGGAGTGCCGCACTGTCGGAGGGTCAG